AAAATCAAACCCTGTTTTGAATTCTCACAACAGCGGGAGGAGTGCTTTGGCATCTGCTTATGGGCAAGGCCTATCCTTTGTTTTCTGAGCCTATCTGAAGTATTTTTTTCTCTCTCTCTCTCTCTCTCTCTCTCTCTCTCTCTCTCTCTCTCTCTCCCTCCCTCTCTTTCTCTCTCCCTCTCTCTCTCTCTCTCTCTCTCTCTCTCTCTCTCTCTCTCTCTCTCTCTCCCCCGACCCCAACACAGTGAGGGACCCGCAGATGTGCCCCGCCTTCCCGTCTGGAAGTCGGATGGTGTCACGGGCTTGGGTTTGCTGTGCCAGGGCAGCCAATGGCATGGGGCTGCAGGGCGGGGCGCCGGCCTTGTCCTCCACGGGTTAGCAGAGGCCCGGAGTCCGTGGGTCCCCACCCGTGTCTGTGTGGCTGGACTGAGCAGATGGGGTGTCAGGGACAGACATGGGGAATCCCGCTGCTCTACACTGGTAACATTTCCAGGCTGAAGGGGCGAAGGGGAGAAAGCGCGGGCGCGTGGGGGAGGGGCCCTGTCCCTAACGCAGGGTGGGGGTGGAGCCTGCTGTTCGCCCCACCGGGAGCTGGGGGCGGGGCCACCCCTCCGCTGGCCCCTGTGTGCCCTGCCGGCCTCCTCACACACATCCTCATGCCTGCGATTCCTTGGAGCCCAGCCAAGCCGAGAGGGTGGGTCCCCAGGGCCGGGCCAGTGGGCTCGCTTGGCTGAGCTTGGGCCTGGGCCAGCTCCGAGGTGGCTGCACATCGCGGAATGCAGACCTCCCATCCGGCCCGGCCCTCCTCCTCCTCCTCCTCCGGGTGTGGTGTGAGCTGTGGGGTGCAGGGAGGGGACCCTGCTCTGGCCCCCAACCCCTACACCCCAGGTCCTCTGCTGGATGAAGCCATGCAGAGAAGGGCTGTGCTCCCCGCGGAGGGCCTGGGAAGCCGGGTGGGGAACCAGCGAGTGCTTTTATTAAAGAACCCCAGGACCCCCGACAGCCGCCCTGGTTCTCCACCCCCATCAGATCCCCCAGGGCTGGAGAAGGCCCCACTCCTCTGCCACTCAGAAGGACGGTTACATGCAGGCTCCTGGGACCCCTGCTGGGTCCTGTGCTGGGGGCCTGGGCGGCCCAGCCTGGAGTCCTTTCCAGGGTAGAAGCTAGTAGGGTCAAGGGGTGTGGCCTTGGAGCCCTGCACCCCTCCTAGCTGGGACTCCAGAGGTCCCTGCGTAAATCCCCCAGGCCCTGCTGGGGCTCCCTCCCTGGCCCTCACCAAACAGCTCCCTGCGGTCCTCACTACAAGCCCCAGGGTGGCCAAGGGCCAGCTGTGTGTGGCTAAGGACAGGGATGCAAATGGCTTTGGGGGATCAGGCTGAGGCCTCATTGGAAGAAGCCAGGCAGGTGGGGAAGGGGCTGGGGAGCCCATTGTGCGCTCTTAAGCAGGCCTCTGACTGCCCCCAACCCACCACCCTTCCCTCCAGCGCCACCCACTGGCCACCCACTCATCATCCAAAAGCCTCCAGTCCTGGTCTCATAGCTGGGTGTGGTGGCACACACCTCTGATCTCAGCACTAGGGAGGCTGAGGCAGGAGGATTGCCATGAGTTCAAGGCCAGCTTGGGCTACATAGTGAGTCCAAGGTCAATCTGAGCTACATAGAGAAACCCTGTCTCAAAAAAAAAAAAGAAAACCCAAAATAATAATAAAATAAAATCCTAGCCTTGCCCGGTCACCCAGGAGGGTAGGAGGGGGCAGGGAGGCGCTGACGACTTAAGTGTTCCTCTAACTCCCTGGCAGCAAGGGGGCAGGGAGACTCCCTGGGCAGAGCCAGGCCCAGCTGACTCAGAGGGTGGGGTGACCCAGGGAACTCTCATCGCCCCGGGCACCCTGGGGACCCGTCTAGCCGGTTTCCCTATCTGCCACGCGGGTAGTTTGTAGCTCCTGCTCTGCAGCACCCTGTGGATGGCTGGGTCCTGATGGGGGAGCCCCAGAGAGAGGGCGACAGACGCACAGCCCAGGCACCGGCTAGAAAAGGCGCCCCTCCCCCCAGCTCCCTTCCCTGGGCCTCAGCGTCTGCCAGCTCTCAAGCTTGGGGGTGTGGGAAGATGGGGTGGCCCTGGTGGTGGGAAGAGCAGAGCTCAAGGGCACCCAGTCTGGTCATCAGGGCTTCCCCCTTCCAACAGGAAGTGACTGCTGGGACCCGGAAGACCTTCCGGTGCAGCCCCGTGATGGCCTGGTCCTCAGTGATCCCAAAATAAGAGGCTGAGCTCGGGGTGGGCTGCGTCCACTCTGGGCCCAATGCCTCTGTGCGCTACTGTGCTCTGAGGGGGGAATGGAACTTGCCTCCAGAAAGAGAACATGGTGCATTTCATTTCGTCAGCATGCACAGTTTTGGGCATCTCTGGAATCACAGGTAGAGGCTGACTTTATGCCCCCTTGTGTTGGTTTCTTTTGTTTGTTGTTTTGAGACAAGAGTCTTGCTTTGCAGTTCAGGCTGGTCCTGAACTCACTTTGCAGCCCGGGCTGGCTTCGAATTCATGGCAATCCTCCTGCCTCAGCCTCCCAAGTGCTGGGATTACAAGCATGTGCCACGATGCCTAGCTTGCTGTTGTACTTTCCTATAATGTCCATGACTTGCTTTATAAGCAGAAAATAAAGGGTTTTGAGTCATAGTCCCAGAGCCCTGGGGGAGGAGGTGTGGCAGGCGTCACACTTGGTCAGCCTTGTGCTGAATCTTAGGATCTGTTGGGCAGAGTTGGCAAAACAGAACCAAATGATGGGGTGACGGGCACAGGGCTGCATCCAGCAGCAATGGGCAGGATGTGCAGCACATGGGACAAGGCAGAGGCCACCATAAAGTCTGCCAGGTGCCACGAGCTCAGGCCGTGGCAAGGTCACAACAACGGCACTGCCCCCCCCCACTCAAGTCTGAGACAGAAGCAAGCCCACATTTGCAAGGCTGACCAGTTCAGGGTGGCCTTGAGCTCACTCTGTAGCTCAGGCTGGTCTCAGACTCACCACAGTCCTCCTGCCTCAGCCTCTTGAATGCTGGGATTACAGGCGTGCACCACCACGCCCGGCTCACTACTATTTTTTATATTGGTTGAAAACTGAAATGGTACTCCTTTGAATCTGTTGGGTTAATAAGTAAAATGTATTATTAAAGTTAATTTGACCTGGATATGGTGGCACTCTGGGAGGCTGAGGCAGGAGGATCATAAGTTGGAGTCTAGCCTGGGCACCCTTAGTAACTTAGTAAGACTTTGTATCAAAACAAAAAAAATAAACAAGGTCTTTGGGGATGCAGTTCAGTGTGAAGCCCTGGGTTCAATCCTCAGTAAAACAAAACACAAAACAAACGATTAGCCAGGCATGTTGGCGCATGCATGCAATCCCAGCACTCAATAGGCTGAGGCAGGAGGATTTTGGGAGTTCAAACCCAGACTGGGCTACAAAGTGAATTTAAGTCCAGCCTGAACTGCATAGTGAAACCCTGTCTCAAAAAAAAGAGGTTAAGTGGGCCTATTTGACCTATTTCTTTTTCTTCTTATTTATTTGTTTATTTTTGTGGCACTAGGGACTATTACTGAGTGACCACAACACCGGCCCCTCACCTACATCTTTTTACTTTCACTTTTAACACAGCCACTAGGAAATGTAGAGGTGCCCTGCGTGCGTCCCATCTCCCCTACATGCCCCATCTAGAGTCCCGGAGGCCCAGGAACTCTGCGCCCCATAAACGGAACAGGTCACAGGTAGCTGCTTCAGGTCTCTTTCATCCAGAACCAAAGCCCAGCCCCCTCCATGAGAGCTTTTCATTTCCTGTGGTTTTAGACTCACAGAGCAAATCTGTCTCCAATGCCGCTCTCCCAGGGTTCCCTGCTATGTGTCCTGTGTGGCAGCTCAGATGCCACCTCTTCCAAGAGGCCCTCTGGGACCACTCCTCACAGCCGCACTGGCTGCCCTGCCCGCCCTGTCTCTGACGGTGCTCCTGGCCCACCCCTGCCACTGGGAGCTCAGCTCAGTCGGCTGGCAGTCGGCGCCTGTGCAGGGCCTGGCAGGCTTGGTGCCACCCCTGGGTGCCTCTGGGGTTTCAGCAGGGAGGAGCTGTCACCCTGATTCCAGCCTTCCTGCATGAGCCACCGGGTTGGCATCAGGAGGGGAGAGAGGGACCCAGGGCCCAGTGCCCGTGGAGCTGTACTCACCAGCGGCAGGAAGGTCAGCAGGGGCCGCACGCGGGGCCGGGCCTTCAGCGTGGCAGTCCCAGACTCACTGACGGTGTCGAAGCGAGCATCCCTGTAACAGATGCCATCTGCGGGACACAGCAAGAGGACTCCGTTAGCCAGGGGACAGGGCAGGCCTCTGGCCACTAACTGTATCCCTCCTGCGGCTCTCAGCAAGGAAGCCAGACCCAGAGGACGCCCACCCCCAGCTCCGCTAAGCCCCTATGACACAGGAAGATCCTATGAGTGGAGCCAGATGTGGTGGTGCACACCTGTGATCCTAGCACTTGGCAGGCTGAGGCAGGAGGATCACCCAAGAGTTCGAGGCCAGCTTGGGCTCCATTACGAGACTGTCTCCACACACACAAAAAGGACCCTACAGATCCCGTGCACAGATCCTCCAGTGTCCTGGGGCTTCCAGACCCAGCAGCCACCTTCCTCCTGACCTCCCCAGGTAGTCCCGAGCTTCCTCCTGGGCCTCCTCTCCCAAGGAAAACTGGCCCCGGGGGCCACAGCCTCAGGCACGCTTATCTCCAGTGGGAGGAAAACAGCACAGTTCTCCCAAGTGTTCTACCTTCTAATCTGGAACAAGACCTTGGAGGCCATCGGTCCCTACCCCCAAATGCCCCCGGGCTGTGGGACTAGAGCCCTCTGGGTCTGCAGCGGGTGTGGCCATGGCAGGGGGTACGGGGCTGCTGTAGGGTAAGAGTGGGCCCAGGAGCTGCCCTCTTTCTCAGCTCCTCCCCTCCCCTCCCCATCTCACTGATTAGTTTTGCAGGACAAGAAGGAGGGGGGTAGGAGGGGAGGGGGAGGGCAAGAGGGAGAAGATGGGGAGGAGGGGGTTTTCTCCAGGGAGGGCCTTGCTGCTCCTCTCCAGCCAGGACAAATGGAACAAAGGCCAGTCAGACCCTGAGCAGCCAGAACCCTGCTCCCAGCAGCGCTGAGGAGCTGGCCCTGCTGTGCCCGCTGCGGGGAAGCATGTTCTAGGGAATGTGTTCTAGGGACCGGGCTCGTCAGGAGGGCTGGGTCCTGCCCTCGGGGGGCGTCAGGGCGGGGATGTGACTGGAGGCTCTGGGGAGCACCCAGAGCTGAATGCAGGGCCCTCGGGTGCTGCCTCCCGAGGGGCAGTCAGCAGCAGGCTGTGGGAGGAGCACCGCCATCCCGTGAGGAGCTGCAGGACGAAGCTGGCCCGGCCGGGGACGGGAGGGGACTGTGAGGGTACAGATTTGGCCCGATCAGAAACAAGAGCCCAGAGCGGAGTGTCTACTGGGGACAGATACAGCTCTAAGGAGCGGCGGGCTGGGTGGGGCCGTGGCCGGGACAGCAGCGCAGACCACCTGCCTAGCTCCTCCCGTCTCTACCTGCAGGGCTCCCGGGTGCCCCTGCCTGGTGCTGAGTTATCGCATACCAATGCCCGCTACTCTTGGGCACCCAGGAGCTTTGGACGCTCACATTTGAGCAACCTGGCAAGGTAGAAACGCTGAAGAAATAACACGCCATTCCAGGTGGAGGAGGAGGAGCACACCTGTGACCCCAGCACGTGGGAGGCTACAGTGAGAGGGTCGCCAAGGCCGTCGCAGGCTACATAGTGAGACCCTGTCTCAAACTAACAAACAAAAGTCGTTCAGGTCCCAAAATAGCCCCATAGCACAAATGAAGAGACTGAGGCACGGGCTGGGGATATAGCTCAGCGGCACAGCGCCTGCCTGGCAAGGGCAAGGTCCTGAGTGTGAGTCCTAGTACCCTCCCAAAAGAAATGGAGGCACAAGGTCAAATAACTTGCCCCAAGACCGACAATAAGTATGAATGCCAGGGTCTCCCTGAAGGGCCTGAGCTCTGCACCCCTTGTGCCCACAGGGAGGGATGCCAGCGGCCCCAGAGACAGCACTGGGAGGGAGATGGGCTGGGGTGGGTGGGCACTGAGGGGCAGAGGCGGCCAGGCTGGGCTTCAGCAGCTTTAGGAGCAGCAGAGGAGACGCGGCCACCCAAAGCCTTGCAGGGCAGGGTCGGGACGAGGACAGAGACAGCTGCTGTGACACCGACCCCTACTCCAGTAGTGTGGCGGAGGCCCTGGCACTTGGCTGTCGGGGTGTCCCAGCCAGGGCCTCCTCCTGAAAAACCCCATTTGCTGTTCCAGTCTCCCAGTCCTCAGAGGTGTGGCGGGGACCAGCGAGGGACACTGAGGCTGTGAAGACGGAGGGGGCTGGCCAGGGACAGGAGGAAGCAGATCTGGATCCCCCAGGGCTGCTCCAGGGAGTGGAGTCCGCCAGTGCCTTGTTCCAGCCCCACACCAGACTTCATTGTAAGATAAGAAATCTGTTGTTTTAAGCCCTTCCCCCCCAAAGAGAAAAGGGGTGTGACTAGAACCCGCCGGCCTCTTGGGGCCCCTCCTGCCTGGCCTGCCCCGCAGGGTCAGACACCACCCCCAGGGCCACCATGCATAGGTCCTCCAAGGGTTTAACGCCAGGCCTGGCCTTTCTCCCCTCAAAGCCAAGGACAAAGCTAGAGAAAAAGACAAGAGGCCAGGCCCAGGGACTTTCCTAGGAGTAAGGGAATTCGGTCGCAGTGCTGGTGACACTGGATTGGGCCTTTGGGAGCAGCGGGACCCTCCCCGGGGGAGGAGGCTGCAGGAGGTGGAGTGGCAGCTGCTGTCAGAGAGGCCCCTGTCCCAGCGCAGCGACGTGATGTGACGCTGGCTGGTTCTGGTCATTGCATGTGTGCATCAGAGAGGGGGCCCTGGAACACCGGGAGGGATTCAGAAAGGCTGGGAAGAGAAGGAGTTGACCAGGACCCTCCAGAGAAAGGGAGGGTCTTCCGGGGAGCCTGGAGCCACTGAGGCCAAGTGAAGCCTAGGGAACCCATCCTGAGCCTCAGGGGACCACAGCCTTGTCGAGAGGACTGGAAGCTGCAGATGGCAACCCAGGCCTGTAATTCCGGTACAGTACTTTGGGAGGCTGAGGCAGGAGGGTGGCAGGTTCAAGTTCTACCTGGGCACTTACTGGTTTAGCAAGACCCTCTCTCAAATTCTAAAACTTTTATAAAGCTCTTAGGGGAAAAAAAAAAAAGAAAGCTCTGGGGATGCAGCACTGGGTTCAATCCCTAGTACTAAAAACAAGACAAAACAAAAAGCACACAACTCCAGGTCCCGATGCCAACAGGCCCACGTACTAATAATGCAGATAAAACGGGAAAATCCAGCTCTGTGTCCATCTGCCTAAACCTGATGGTAAAACAGCATCAGTCTCCGCCCCTATCTAGTCCCCATGTGGAAGGACGGGACATGCACAGGGTCCCTCAGAAATTCCTAGACATCTCCCCCCTATCCTGCAGGAAGGTTTCCTTCCCCCACCCCGCCCGCGGTACTGGGACTCGAACTCACAACCTTGCGCTTGCTGGGCAGACTGGGCCGCTGAGCTAAATCCCCAGCCCCTGCAGGAAGGTTTTCATTTACCACCCTCAAGGTCTAAGGCTGGTAGAAATATCACCCAATGTCCAAACGAATCTGTTCCAAAATAATTCCGGGTCCCAAGCAAGAGGGTGTCACTTCCAGGTTTCCCCTGGGGACTGTAGCTCCCCACTGCCCTAAGGGCTGGAGAGAGAGAGAGGACAGGGTTAGGGTACCAGCTCTCTCGGGCCACAAGGAGGCCACCTGGGTCTCTGTCCCTGCGTTGTCACTTAGCCACGTGTCCTGGGAGTGCTCGTAGGTGCCTGAGCCTGCTTCCGCATCTTTGCATTGTGACCGTGGTCCCTGCTGGGGGACAGCTGTGGGGACGATGAGACAAGGCACAGAGAATGTTAGCAATGCCCCTAGCAGACAGCTCGTGCTCAGCAATGGTGGGTGGCTTTGGTCACTGTCATCCGTGTCCTCATTGCTGTCCCTGCCCCACCCTGTCTCCCTCCCAGAGTTTGGGCTTCTGGCTTGACTCAGCTTAGGCCACTTACAAATTATGGTGACCCCCCACCTGCACCCACAGTGACAGTCACGGGGAAGCAAGTGACAGGGATCACTCTGAGTCCTTACACTGAGGACACAGAAGCCCAAGAGGGAGGGCTTCCGGCTCCTCTTCCGGACAGGCAAACCTGATTCTTTAAGACGGAGCCTGTCTAAATTGCCCAGGATGGTTTGAACTTGCAATCCTCCCGCCTCAGCCTCCTGCATGTCTGGGATAACAAGCATGCACCACCACACCCAGCAGGAAAATAGTATTTTCATTTTCATTCCTAATTTACAGATAAGGAAACAGAGGATCAGAGAAGTTCTACCTCCTACCCAAGCGACCCGAATCTAGACTCTAATTCCCTGTGGACACAGCCTGCACAGAGGAGACAAGAAGGTACAGCCTGTCTCTGCCCCGGTCTCCTGTGTCTGCAGCATGAACCTGCAGAGGGAGGTGACGGTCTCGGGTTTCTATCAGCGCACACCTGCTCCTGTCTGCGGGGCCTGGCAAGTGTGGGCTCTCTTTCCAGCTTGGTTTCCCCACCTGTAAAGCAGGCTAATCACCCCTACTTTGCAGGAGGGGAAAGGAAGTCAGCTGGGCAGGAGAAGGTGGGAGTGAGCGTGGGGAGCACCACCTCGCCAGGACCCCAAATGCTGGGCGCAGGTCTGGTCAGATTCCAAGGGCTGGGAGGCTGGGGCCTCAGTGTGTGTGTGGGGGGTTCCGATGCCCTGACCAGGAGAAACCCAGGACCCCGACAGGCCCTCACCTGTTCCTACCTCACTGCTCATGCACGGCACAGGGACAAAGGGGAGAGACCCTGCGGGTGCGCAGGGGAGCGGCAGGGTGGCCCGTGTGAATGTAACCCACAAATGACCTTAATGAGCCTCTTCTTTGCTAATTAGCAGGTCCACAGAACGAGACCAGCCAAGGCCAGTTTGTCCCAGCAAGCCCCGGCAGGCCTGACCCAGGCGCAGAGAGAGGCCTTTGTCCAAGGGCAGAGGGGACACAAGGTTGGGCTGGGGTAGCTTCGGCGAGGGTAGGAAGGGGGCACACAGCACACAGGCCCCTGTTTCCTAGCTAGGTCTGCAGCTCAATGTCCAGCACAGTGGGACAACTGCCTCGTGCCCAACCAGCCAGCCTGATCGTCCCAGGAGAGCCGGGAGTGGTGATGCACATCTGTGATCCCAGCACCCGGAGGCTGAGGCAGAACAGTGGCTGTGATTTTGAGGCCAGCCTGGATTAGCTAGCAAGACCCTGTCTCAAAAAAACAAAAACCAAACGGTCCCAGGAGAGGGCTGGGGGTGCGAACAGCTCAGCGGCAGGGTCCTTGCCTAGCAGGCATAGGAGCGGGGATCCATCCCCAGTCCTGTCAAAAAAAATGAGGGGGGGTAGCCAGGGCTTGGGGGACACTTAAATAAATGTTGAGCTGCCATTGGCTGAGGTGACTCTGAGCCACTTCATGCTTCTGAGCATTCTGAGCCTTCCGCGTCTGTTTTTTCAAGTGGGAAGAGCTTTCAGAGCTGTCAATGATAAGCAGTCCACCGCTGCACGCCTGCCATGGGTTTGCCGCCATTGCCCTAGGTGGTCTTTAGCACAGGGCCTAGGTCAGGAAACGGTACCCAATAATAACGATCCTGTTGTTGTTGTTATTTTATTGGCTGGGAGAGAAAGGGCAGCCCGAGCGGGTTCGCAGGGTGAAGGTGACCACAGCGAGGCGCTTACGTAAAGGGCGGCGCGAGGGCATGTGCGCATGTGTGTACCACGTAGCCCTCCGCGCATCTCCCGAGGCCAGTACCTTTCCAGCCCTGCAAAGCACAGATCTGCTTCTTGCAAGCCGGAAATGAGTGCTCAGCTCCGTGGGGTCACAGTTTTCCAGGCTTTCCTGATAAGGAACTGCCACATGCCCTGCACTCTTATTTTCAATCCAGTCCCACTGTCTTTTTAAGAGTGAGTGTTTCCAGGTCCCCAGTGCCACATGGGAAAGGAAAACCGGGACTCTCCAACCTGGCTTCACCCCCCTGCATTTTAAAGAAGTGTGCTTAGCCAGGTGTGGCGGTGCACACCTGTAATCTCAGCCCTTGGGAGGCTGAGGCAGGAGGATCGTTGCAAGTTCGAGGCCAGCCTGGGCCACAAAGTGAACTCAAAGCCAGCTTGAACCACATAGCGAGACCCTGTCTCAAAAAGACAAAAAAAAAAAAAAAAAAAAGTCCTAGCTGGGTGTGGTGGTACATGCCTCAGGAGGCTGAGGCAGGAATGTCTCAAATTCAAGGCCAGCCTGAGCTACACAGTGAACTGCATATGTCCAAATCCTGTCACAAAACAAAACAAATGAAACAAAGAATAGTCTTTTTTTTTTTTTTTCCCGTCTTTTGAGACAAGGTCTCACTATGCAGTTCAGGCTGGCCTTGAGCTCACTTTGTAGCCCAGGGTGGTCTCGAACTTGCAGTGATCCTTCTGCCTCAGCCTCCCAAGTGCTGGGATTACAGGCGTGCACCACCACGCCCGGCAAAGAATAGTCTTGAGTGAGGCTTGGTGTCCTACGCCTATAATCCCAGTACTTGAGAGGCTGAGGCAGGAGGATCACAAATTCAAGGCCAGCCTGGCTACACAGCAAGTCCTTGTTTCAAAAAAAAAAAAAAAAAATCCTAGGTGGTTATGATGAAACCACTTTGACACGCCAGGAACAGGGCTGCAGGCAGAGTCCCCCATTTGGCCAAAGCCCATTTCCTTATCAGGGATTCAAAAAGATCCGCCTCTCTGCTTTCTCAGGCAGTTGAAGCACAATTATGGAGACTTTAAAGAGCCTGTTTGGGTTGTGGGAGGGAAGAGAGCTTAATTTGGATCGTGATTGCATTCAGTGAGGTCTTCTCATTGCTCCAGTGCATGGAGGAAATGCTTCATTTTTTTTCTGAGACACAGTCTCACTAGTTCAGGCTGGCCTGGAAGTCGTGGCAATCCTCCTGCCGCAGCCTCTCAAGGACTGAGATGATAGGCCGGCCAGGCCTGGCTAGGAAAGTCTTTAAAGAGAGCTCTACCCGACATCCCCTCCGCAGGGCTGCAGCACAGGCTCCCACTCACTCAGATCCCTAATGTGCCCCTGTCCGCCCCCACCCCACCCCATCCACAGCCTATTTTCCCAAGACCCACGAGGATCTCATCCCAGAGTGTCACAGACTCCAGGGCCCCTGGGCGCCCAGACCCCCACTGTCTCAGTCCGCAGAGCCTCCATGGGCACAAGCACAGGGGGGAAGCCGGGGGAGGGGAGACCCGAGGACAGCAAGGGGTCTCCACCCGCTCTCCCCAGGGGCCGGGCGGGAATGAGTCCAGGGCTGCCGTCCATCAGGCAGTCTCTCCCAGCCACTGGCTGGGGCCAGGCGTGTGGCTTTACTTCCCGGCCTCGGGGAGCCCAGACACCGTCCCCAGGGAACAGAAGGGACAGCCAGGTCGGAGGGCAGCCCTGTGTTACGGAGACGGGAGGGATCCCCTGGCCGCCGGGCCTCTCCATCCTATCCCACGCTCAGCCCCTCCCCTCTCAGCCCCAAGCTCCCAGGGAGGTGGCCTCTGCCTACCCACGGGCACCCCAGGGAACACCCAGCTGGACGGGGTACCCACACCCCTCCATGTGCAGGCTCAGCGGCTGAGTCAGCCGAAGCCCAGCCTTGCCCGGGGGATGCAGGATGGACGGGGAAGCTGTGCCCTGGGCTCCAGCCTGCGACAAAGCACCAAGTCCCTCTTCTCTCACAGCAGGCCCCGAATCCACTGGCAAAACAGAAAGTACCCCAGGTGCCCCGCCAGTCACCCTTGTGTCACCACCCCAGAGGGAACTCCGCTAAGCGCTGGGTCCCTCAAGAGGGCCTCTGGGGTCACCTCCTGTCCCCAGATTGCATCGGGGCTGACCGCACAGCTCTGTAAGTCCACTAAAACCACTGAGTTGTACTGGGGCGATGGGAAAACACGGTAAGTGCCTACATTTTAAAAATTTTAACTCCTCCACCTCGCTACAAGCACGCTTCTCCTGCCGTTCTTGCTACTTTGTGCAGCTGCTTCTCTGGACGTCTTCTTTCCTGAATGTCTTTGGTTGCACTGTTGTGGCTCCTTTGATGTCCTGAGCTGATTTCTCTTTCGTGGTCATTTTGACTTTAGGGAAGAGCCAGAAGTCACACGGTGCCAGAGCCAGCGAACAAGGGGGTGAGAACACAGCGCCATGTGTTTACAAGCCGGCCTTTCTGTCCAGTGGCCCTTGGCTGCAACACTCACCGTAGTTTTGATCACACTTTCGAAAGACACTCAGGAAAGATGACTTCCAGACTCACTTCAGAAAGTAGCAAGAAGCCAGGCGTGGTGCCGCATGCCTGTAATCCCAGCGCTCAGGAGGCTGAGGCAGGAGGATCACTGAGCTCAAAGGCCAGCCTACATAGCAAGAACTTATCTCAAAAATAAATAAATAAATAAATAAACAAAAACAAACAACAAATGAATAAGTGTGTTCAAAGGGAGGAGGAGTATTTGAAGGAGGTTTATGGCAATGTGTCCATTACTGTAACAAATTATTTTAAACATAAATATGCACTGCATTGCTGGACAGAGCATTGTTCGGCACACCTCGCACACTGGGGAGGGCCCCGGCTCGGCCATTTAAAGTCCTGTGACGTGGAGCTGTCACCTAACGCCCCTGAGCCTGGGTCTACTCCTCCTTCAAACAGAAACTAGTAAGCGCCGAACTCTAGATTCCTGAATCAACAGCACGAAGATTTGCGAGTGGGACCTTGCACCCCGGCGCAGTCCATGGGTGTTTGCTGTGTGACGTTTTCTTTTTCCCCGGGGAGGTGACCGGGCCTTGCTGCGTGTGCGCGCTCCAGGCCGGCTTGCGCCGCCCTGCCTGCCTGCCCGGCCCGTCCGCTCCGCCGGGATCGCCTTGCCCTTCTCCCGTGCTCCGAGAGCCTCTCATACCACAGCTCCGAGCACACGCGTATCCCTGCCGGCCTGGGCTGGAGGGAGGCCTCCCCACTTCCTGCGCTCCCGGCCACACGCCTGTACTCGGCTGTGTGACCTGGGTGCCCGGCTGAGTCACAGCAGGGGCCGAGGCTGGGCGGACGGCGTCTTTTCCCACCACGCCTCCCCCCCAACCACGGGCCACACGCGGACGTGAGTTCCTGCCCCTGACCCCTCATGGAGGGCAACTGCAGAAATACGCGGGGACCTGGTGACCCCAGCCAGACCCAGGCCGGGCAGCGTGTTCTCAGGCGCCTGCAGAGGGGGCGCCTCCGCTGCCGTCCGGCGTGCGGCCCCTCAGGTGAGCCCACCAACAACCCGGGCCTGGGGGGACCCCGATGCACGGCTGGGTGTCACAGCAGCCTGGGAACCCGTCTGCAACCCCTAGTGGCTTTGCCCAGGCCCGGCCAGTACAGAGCCGAAGGTGTGGGTGCCGGGGAGCACCCTAGTATCTGACCTAGGAGTCTCTGGTCAGCGGAGCAGGCACCCCAGCCCTAGACCTGGGCGCAGCTGTGGCTCAGCCGGCGCGCGGATTTGGGCGCGGGGCTGGGGCGCAGCGATCGCAGGGTGCAAACGCCGGCGCCGCGGGGACGGCGAACACCTCGGGGAGGCCCGGAGCGCGGCCAGAGTCCCGGTGTGCGGCGGCCCGCCCGCCTCCCCGCCCTCCCCGCGGCCGCTCACCGAAGTCCCGGGTCCCCTCGTCGGGGGCCTCCTGCGTGAAGATCCAGGGCGGGTTGGTGGCATAGAGAGACGTGGAGGCGGGGCTGGCGTGCTTCTTCCCGAAGAGCTTGCTCAGGGTGCCCTGCACCGCCGGGCTCTTCTTCATGCTGCCGCGGGCGCCGGGTCTCGCTCTACCCGGCCATGTCCCTGTCGCGCTCCCACTCGCGCTGCTGCGCTCCCGGGAAATACGAGCCACCTGGCCAGGTAAGAGGCGGCGCCTGCCCGGCCCCGCCCCGCCGCCCGACTCCCCGGGCCGCATTCCTTCCAGCCTCTTCCACAACAGGCCTTTGTGGCACCAGGCGGGACCTCGCCCAGCCCTGGCCCTGCCCCGGGGAAGGCCGCCCCTCCCCCAGGTTCCCCGCGGCCCGCCTTCTACCCCTGGGCCAGGCCCGGCCCGGGACTCCCCTCCCGCAGGCGGTTCAAGACCAGGTTGGTCTGAGCACTTGGGAAACCATCTGTGTCCAACACCCGCGGCAGGCCTGCCCACAGCCCGCGCCCTGACGCAGGGAAGTATGGGGCAGGAGGCTTCCAGGAGAGGAGGAGCTGGGTGTGGCAGTGCAGGTCTGTAATCCCAGCACTATGGGAGGCTGAGGCAGGAAGATCACAAGTTCCAGCCCAGCCTGGCCAATTTGGTGATTTAGCAAGAACGAGTCTCAAACCGGGCTTGGTGGCGGGTGCGGTGGCTCATGGCTGTAATCCCAGCACTTGGGAGGCTGAGACAGGAGGATTGCTGCGAGTTTGAGGCCAGCCTGGGCTACACTGTGATTTCAAGACCACCGGGTTGAACTATATGAGACCATGTATTCACTCTTTTTATTTTGGTACAGAGAATCAAACTCGGGACCTTGTGCTTGCCAGGCAGGCACTTATGCCACTGAGCTATATTCTCAGCCCTGAGAACCTGTAAATATAAAAAGGGTTGAGGATGGAGTTCAGTGTGAAGGCTGTGGGTTCAACGTGGGTTCAACAATAACTACAAAAAGGTCGCAAGGAAATGCCTATAAGAAAAAAAGAAAGTAGATAAAATAGCAAGCTGCTGACAAAGGTGGACACTTTCCCAAGAGGCCTGGAGAGGATGCAGGGTGACTAACTCTTGGCATCTTGCAGACATCTAAAACCAGACATGGAGCCGGGCATGGTGGTGCACGTCTGTAATCCCAGCACTTGGAGGCTGAGGCAGGAGGACTGCCATGAGTTCTAGACCAACTCGGCTACAAAGTGAGTTTGGTGCCAGCCTGAACTACATAGCAAGATCCTGTCTTGGAAAAAGAAAAAACAGAGATGAGGAGAGCCCACCGAGGGCCCCAGTCATGCTCCAGCACTGGGGCCATGGTACTCAAACCAGGTCCCAGAATTCTGGGAGGCTGAAGCAGGAGGATCTCAATATCCAGCCCAGCCTAGACAACTTAGCAACTTAGCAAGATCTTTTCTTAAGAAAGGAAAAAAAGCCGGGTGTGGTGGCACACACCTGTAATCCCAGCACTTGGGAGGCTGAGGCAGGAGGATCGTTGTGAGTTCGAGACCAGCCTGGGCTACAAAGTGAGCTCAAGGTCAGCCTGAACTGCATAGCAAGACCCTGTCTCAAAAAGACAAAATAATAATAATAATAATAATAATAATAATAATAACAAAAAATAAATAAAAAAGGAAAAAAAAAAAGAGCTGGGTTGAGGATGTGAAGCCTCTAGACTCAATCCCCTGTACCCTCTAGACTCAATTCCCCTGTAGGGGGAATCCAAAAGCAAAATACTATTATCATCTAATATTCACTCCATATTTTAAAAATTTTCTATTATCACCTGAAATATCATTTTAGTTGTTTGTCCCCTTCCACAATCCAATTAAGCTTGTCTTCTGTCGCCCTCTTTTCATTTTATTTTAATTTTTTCCTGACACTTTCGTCTTTCTAACTCTTGGCTTTTGTTTCTGGTAAGTTTGTTCCTAGCTCCAGCTTCCAGGGCCACAGTGAGCTGGGCCCTCAGGGATAGGGGTGAGAGGTTTCCTTTCCAGGTCCTCGGTGGGAAGGGACTGAGGGACAGATAGGTGACACTGAAAAGGCTACCTGGGCTCCCCAGCCATCTTGGTCAGCTCTGGTGAGCAGCTCTGCCCACCCGGCATCCTGGAGCGGTGGCCACCCTTCCGGGACCCCGGATGCAGGGCCTCGGCGGCCGACGCCACACTGGGCCTGCTGGGTGCCATGGGGTGGGAGCCAGCCAACAGCCTTGTTTTTCTGCACAGAGCACTTTGGGGGTCTCATCAGGAAGCCAGGTGTGGACTGGGGATACAGCTCAGTGGCAAAGCAGCTGCCTGGCAAGCACAAGGTCCTGAGTTCGATTCCCGGCACCAAAAAAAAAAAAAAAAAAATACAGGCGTGGGCCACTCCGCCTGGCAGGAAGCCGGGGTGCATAGGGGTGGGGTAGCACGCTTCAGGTGACGAAACCGTTGCAGTATACCCCGCAGGAAGTCAGAGGACAGGAGTGGACAGGAGTCCAGGAAGGCTTCTGGGAAAAGCCTGGCCCGGAGATGCCCGTGAAGAATGACGGGTGGACAGAGAGACAGGGAGGAGTCGTTCAGGGCGCGCATGCGTGTCCGTCCATCTTCCATCTCTACGTCATAGGCCCCGCCCCGTCCCCCCAGGGGACACAGGGGAGCGCAGATGCCCTGTGACGCTCTGGGCACTGTCTACCCGTGCTCCAGGTGCTTGCTGCTCTTCCCAGTGGGCACTGCAGGCCCCGTCACACGCAGCCGCCGCCAGTGTGGGCAGCGCCAAGAACCTTAGGGCCTCCCTCCGAGGAGGCCCCGCCACAGTCTGTCTGGGAAGATGAGTCGGGACGGCTGCAGGGGCTGGAGAGGCGGCAGCAACCCCAGGACCCAGCACGGCAAGGTGGGACAGGGCGCGGAGGCCCTAGAACACCGGCTAGAAAAGTCAGAGACGTCTGAATGGGCCTCTGGTGGTGGTGGGGACACAGATGATGGGGTGTCCTCATGCTGAGTCCAGCGTTGCTCTGAGCAGGAACGCGCCAGACGTTTGTCCAGCTGTCTGCAAGATAAACTGATACACAGTGACCCGAGCTGCAGGGTAGCACCCCGAGTCCTGGGCGGGTGTCCGGGCTGGGTAAATACGGTCTTTCTTGTTTGTTTTGGCACAAAGAAACATCAGAATTCATTAAAAAGTTAACGAAAGGCCGGGCGTTGTGGCGCACACCTGTAATCCCAGCACTCGGGAGGCTGAGGCAGGAGAATCGCTGCAAGTTCGAGACCAGCTTGGGCTACAAAGTGAGCTCAAGGCCAGCCTGAACTGCATAGCGAGACCCTGTCTCAAAAAGACAAAAATAAAAAATAAATTTAAAAAGTAAATGAAAGAAATAAGCAGAAATAAATAATAAAAAAGTTTGTCATGGCCCCTGCTGCTGAATGTGGTCCATGACAAGTGTGTGTTGAGCATTATCTCCTGACAGCTGGAAGAAGGGTGAGTGGGCAGGAGACAGGCTAGGGGTAAAGAGAAGCCTCTTAATTTTTTTTTTTTTTTTTTTTTTGAGACAGGGTCTCAGTATGAAGTTCAGGCTGGCCATGAACTCATGGCGACCCTCTTGCCTCAGCCTCCCAAGTGCTGGGATTACAGGTGCTCCCCTCCCCCACAGCTGGAAGCCTCTTAATTGATCCGTTGATCATTTGATTGATTGACCCAGCAAGAGAGGAAGGGACCAGGACTTGTTGCTCAAACTGGAACCAGACAGGGCCTCTCCCTTAGTGTGGGGACAGCGTCTTGGAGACACAGGAGGCTGGGAACCGCGTGGCATGCGGGGAGAAGCCTCAGAGCGCCTTATCTGTATGTAGCACCGGAAGGCAGCCAGCAATAACCGCTCCTGGTTGGCCTTAAGATTTAATAAGATAATGGAGGCTGAGTCAGGAGGATCGCTGTGAATTCAAGGCCAAGCCCTGGCTGCACAACAAGACCCTGTGTCAATAAAAACAAACAATAACAACAACAACAAGATAAAAAGTGTAAAGCGTCCAGCCCAGGGGTCTCCAGGAGGCACAGGCTCCGCGGGGAGCTGTCCCACCCCACTGGCCCCCACAGTTTCCTTCTGCCGACGCGGCAGCTTTGGGGGCCCTGTCTCCTGGGTAGGGGCAGGGCCCCAAGAGCTGGCACTGCCCAGCCCAGACATGTCACCTGACCACGCCTGCTCCTCCGGGAAAGGAAACAGCCAAATGACAGAGAGCCTGGGCCTGCAATTACGTCCTGCTTAGCGGTGACTCAGGGGCCGAGCCCTGGTCAGTTCCGGAATGTGGGTGGGCCAGGCCGCGTCAGCACACGGCCCCTCCCTCGGAGCCCAGGCCGGGCTCTGAGTGCGGACAGCGGGGGAACCACCTTCATCCCCACCTGGGGTCTGCAGCTGGCTTTCTGGATATACAAGTGACAGCCTGTGACCCCAGCCCATAGATAATGCTTCTGACAGCTTGGTTCGCAAACCGTGCCTGCCCAGACCAGCGGGCAGGGGGCCTGTGCTCACCCCTCCGTCCCTCCTGCTATATCCTGAAGGAGCTGTGTATCCTCGGTATCACATCTGAGGTCAGCCTGGCAGGGGACTGGTGTGTCTAGCGGGCTGGATGCCTGGAAGACGTGTATTTTCCTATCAGGTTCTTTTGTTTGTTTGTTTTGTCCCCCCCCCCCAGTACGGGGAATCGAACTCACAACCTCGCGCTTGCCAGGCAGGCGCTGTGCTGCTGAGCTAAATCTCCAGCCCCTCAGGTTCTTTTTTTGTCGGTGGGGGGAGCACATAGAGAGGATCTTGCTATGTAGTTCAGGCTGAGCTTGAACTCACAGCAATCCTCCTGCCTCAGCCTCCCAAATGCTGGGATCACAGGCGTGCACTACCAGTGAGGCTGTAGGCCTGGATCCCGGCTCTGCTGGTTCCCAAGTGCATGACCTTGGCCACTGTTTCCCTACCCCAAGCCCCACCTTACAGGCTGGGCTGCTGGACAAGGTCATTAGTGGCTCAGTGAGAGAGGGAGCTAAGCAGCCTGAACAGGGGCTGGGCGTAGGTAGTGCTCACCCCTGACCCCCACCCCCGTCCCACATAATTCTGGTGAGGCTGAACGGAGGCCAAGCCGCCAGAGGCTGCAGGAGGCCAGCAGAACCCCGCCAAGGACTCCTGGCAGAAAGATCCGGGCACCAGGAGACAGCGGGCAGGTGCCTAAAAGTCACCTTGGCTCCAGGATAAAACACTCTGTTCTGAGATGCAGCCCACACTGTGAAACAGTACTTGCATACATTTAAAAAAAAAAAATACACTGTTATATCCAGAAAGCAAAAACAAAAACTCTAAGCTGGGCATGGCGCACACACCCAGAACCCCAGCCACTCAGGGAGGACGAGGCAGGAGGATTGCAAGTTGGATCCCAGCCTGGACTATTTAGTGACTTACTGAAAACCTGTCTCAAAAAAAATTTTTTTTTCCAGACAGGGTTTTGCTATGCAGCTCAGGTTGGCCTTGAATTCATTTTGTAGCCCAGGATGGCCTGGAATTTACAGCGATCCTCCTGCCTCAGCCTCCCGAGTACTAAGATTACAGACATGTGCCACCGTGCCCAGAAAAAAAAAAAAAATTAAAAGGCTGGGGTACAGCTCACTGCAAAGGTCCTGGGCTCGATTTCCAGTTTAAAGAAAAAAGAAAATATCTGGGGTGGGTGTGCAGCTCAGTTGTAACCCACTCATCTAGCATGCCTAAGGCCCTGGGTTCTGCCCAGCACTGAAAAAAATAACATTCTAAAAGAGCACGGCCCATTTCAGCATGGTGTTGTGCACTACACAGGAGGCTGAGGCAGGAGGATCACTTGAACCGAGGAGTTTGAGTCCAGTCTTGGCAATGCAGCAAGAAGCTATCTTCAAAATAAAGGGATGGAGGGGAGACCTGAGGACCTGGCTTGATCATGGTTTGTGGGGACAGGAAGTTGGAGGGATCCCATCCCGGGGAGCAGAGAGGTAAGATGTGGGTGCTGTGTGTGGAGGGCGAGGTGGTAGTCAAGCAGGAACCGGAAGTCCACCCAGCACAGCGGCCCTGGGCCAATCTTCCAAACACAGAGATGAAACCTCCGGAGCAGAGTGACGGAGGGGAACCAAAGAGAGGGACACCGCATGAGGCCACTGGGCCCGCGACGGCCACCCGGAAGCTGCTCCTTGCCCTGGCTGGGAGGGGACTGAGAATGGAGGCCATGTGGGCAAGGGTTGGGGTGGCTGGTCTTGCTGTGCCCAGGGCACCCAGAATCGCACTGGCTCACCTCATTCTGAGCGCTGGGGTGTGGACCACAGCCCCCTTGGTTTGTGTGTGTGTGTGTGTGTGTGTGTGTGTGTGTGTGTGTTACAGGGATTGACCCTACTGAGCTACAGCCCTAGCCTTATTTTATTTTTTTATTTTGAGACAGAGTCTCATGAAGTTGCTTAGTTGCCCAGGCTGGGCTTGAACTTACGATCTTCCTGCCTCAGCCTCCCAGAGTTCTGGGATTACAGGTATGTGCCAACATACCCAGCTTTCAACTGCAGTCTTTATCTTCCAGGAGCTTCAAGGATGAGTAAAATAAGGGGGAAGTGAGGCTTCCCAGGCGGCTAGACTGAATCAGCATTGTCCGGATTTTAGAAATAGCTTTGCCATAACTCACAGCCCCTCCCTGGAGTAGTTACAGCTCTGAGTCCATGAAGCCATCACGGGAGCCTTGGAATTAAAGCCTGTCTGTCGTCACCTCACTTGGCCATTGAGAAGAGAGACTCAGAGTTGCTTGTGCACCAGCATAGCTGGGAGGCAGCAGAGCCAGGATTTGTTTTGTTTTGTTTTGTTTTGGTTTGATTTTGAGACAGGGTCTCTGCTATGTAGTTCAGGCTGTCCCTGAACTCACTGTCTAGCCCAGCTGGCCTCACATTCACGGCAATACTCCTGCCTCAGCCTCCTAAGTGCTAGGATTACAGGTTTGCACTGATACAAGTGGCTTAGAGCTGGGATTTGAACCCAAGCTCAGTGGGTTCAAAAGGTAAGAACCTCAAACCATTATGCACTTTATAAGTGAATTAAGGCGGGTAAGGATCTCCAGGCCAGGATTTCCTAACCCCCTCTGAGGTCCCCATAGTGAGGATGGCATGGTCCGGACTGAGGGCTGCTGGCAGGGTGGGGTCCATGCCCAAGGGCCTCAGGGTGTGCCCCTCCGCAGATGTCCAAGGCAGAGAACCCGGCATCCCCATGGTCCTGTGCAGACACAGATAGGACTGGTGTGAGGTCCCCAGGCCTCCTGATCACCAGCTCAGACTCTCATCCTACTCCTGCTCCCTGCCTGGCTCCTCCCCCTCTCCCGGAAATTAGGGGTCATGGCCCTCAGGCGGCAGCGTGAACTTTCGGCACCTCAGCTTCCGGCTGCCCGTGGTCCCAGTGCACCTGTCACCCATGGTGCGGTCCTGCCGATGCAGCATCAGGAAGTGAATAAGGCCTGGCCAGGAGGAGCCGGCACGGCCCAGGGCAGGGTGTGCAGCTGTTCCGTCCCCCCCTCCTGGTGCTGCCCGACACCCCGTCCCCCCACCCCAACATGTGGGATTGAGGCAGGGTCCCGCCAAGTACCGTGCTGGGGACTGTGGGGTGTAGGAGCCTGGACTTTGAAGATGAGGGCATCTATCCATGCCATTCCCCAGCCACACCCAGAGACTTGGGGGGCATGCGTCCTGGTCGCCAGAGGCTTGGTGTGGGGCGGGTATTAGGCTTTCTGCGGTTACATGAATAGCTAGGAGGAGCTCACCTCTACCTTTCCTGCTGTCCCCAGTTTGGGGATCCTCAGGGTGTGTGGGAGGCTGAGATAGCAAAGCAGGCCGGTGTCATAATTAAAGACCCTCCCAGGGCTGGGTGTGGTGACATGCACCTGTAATCCCCACATTTGGGATTGCTGAGGCTGGAGGATCATTTCAAGGTTGAGGCCAGCCTGGGCTATTTGCCTGAGTTCAAGGTCAGCCTGAACTATATCGAGAGACCCTGTGTCCAAAAACAAAACTCCCTAAAACCAACACCAAAACTTCCGCCTGGGCCTGACCCTTAGGAAGGGAGGGGGCTGTGCCGTGAAGAGACATCATAATGTCTCCCCTCTGCAAGCACCCCTCACCTGGGCCCTCCCAAGAGGCCTGGGAGCCTGGGGAGCCCCTGCTCCCCCAGAAGCTCCATCTCACCACCACTAAGGCCTTTCAAGGGTGTTCAAGGTGGGAGATGTCACAGGGTGGAGCGGCAGCCCGAGGCCCCAGGAAGGTGACAGAGGCCACTGTGGTTGGCACCAGGCCTCTGTGAAAGGCTCAGGGGCTGGGGCCACTGCCACCAGCCGACGCTGGCCCCGTGCTCCTCCGTTCTCAGCGTGCTTCTTGACACCTCAGGAGGCTGAGCTGTCTCTTCTCCGGGGCTGCCTCACTACAAGGGATGATAAGTGCTAGGTGGGTTCTTTCGGGGGCGGGTGCTAAGGATGGAACCCTGGGCCACACCATGCTAGGCAGGTACTCTACCACTGGGCTACATCCTCATCCCCTTGTAAAGTTTTGTTTTTGAGACAAAATTGCCTAGACTGCAAAGTTGCTCAGACTGGGCATCCACATGTGATCCTCCTGCCTCAGCCTCTCAGAGTAGCTAGGACACAGGTGAGAGTCCCTGCACCAGCCATGAAGAGCTAGTTAACTGAGGGCTTACTTAAGTCGAGGTAGCTTACACGGAACAGCTCATTGGGTCCTCACTGTAACATAACGGGAGTCTCTTGTTTGTCCCACTTTCTAGATGGGCAAACCGAGGTACAGGGTTTACCCAAAGATCCAGCAGCTAGTGAAGGGGGACTCGAGGTGACTTGCTGCTCAGAGGTCCTGGCGAGCCGTGCAAGGCCGGTGATGACTTATGCGCCCTGTCCCCATCTTCACAAGCCTGTGGGGCCCCGGAGCCTTGTTACCCCGTTTTGCAGACAAGGCGGCGAAGGTGTAAGGACGCCTGAGGTGGCCTGGCCGAAGATGGGGCCGGGCGCAGAGGGCAGACCCTCAAACTGCAGGGCCCCGGTGGCCTCCCCAGCCGCCTGCCCAGCGCTGTGGAATTTGGGGACCTTCCACCCACAACACGGTTCTGGCGACGGCGGCGGCAAGGAGCATTCCCGGGTCCTGGACCCTGGTACTAATACTGCGCATGCGCGAGAGCTCTCCGGTCGCCCTCAGCCCGCGCGGAGCACTGGGAGAAGGGGCAAGCACATTTTGCACGTAGGTATCTCCCAAAGGCCCCGGGACCTGGGCGTGCTGGTGCACACCTGTAACCCCATGTACTCAGGAGGCTGAGGCAGGAAGATTGGAAGTTGGAGGGCAGCCTTGGGCAATGTAGAGAGAGCCTACCTCAAAGTAAAAAAGACCTGTGCTCAGTCATAAAGCAGGCCCTTCTGGGTTGATCTCCATTACTAGGGGGAAAAAAAGACAGCTGTTGGGCTTGGAAGGATAAGAACAGTTTTGAAATGTGAAGTGGAGGGTACAGCTACAGTCAGATGTCCCGTTCTAAGAAATGCATAGCGTTCTTGCCTAAACTAAGATGGCTATCAATGGTGGTGTTACTAAGGAATCTTACTGGGTTTGCCCTTGAATGTTGTGATTGTGCAGTGCACATCCTGTACACCTGGGCAGGAACCAGAGGAGCAAAGACTGCCTGCGGGGAGGAAGCCCTGGGTAAAGTTGGACTGGACAAATGGTTTGCAAATGAGATGCAAACAGGCTGCCTTAGGCCAGGAGCCCCTGGGCCTCCTTTTGTAAGAGGGCAGGGGCTCTCTCAGTGTCCCCAGGGTGGGCAGAGAGGAATAGGGCTCCCCTTGTGGAGGAAGCCCAGGGGAATGGGGTAGAGCCGGCCTGGTCACATCTGGTGGATGGCCACAGTCAGGGCTGGGAAGGTCCCTCATAAAATGACATCTAGTACTTGTTAGCTGGGGATGGGCTGGGGTGAACCGACAGTCAGCCACAGGTCTGTCCAGGAGGGGGCAGCAGAGCAGGAGGTAAGTGTCAGGGGCTATGGGGGCCACTCAGCCGGGTGGGCCGCAAGCCGGCTAGGGAAGCAGGAAGCGCGGTCACAATGACAGCTGTTCTAAAGTGGAATGGTAGGCAGCGGAAGGCCAGGCACCCAACTGGAATTCTGGTGAGCGGAACCCATACCTCAAGAGCACCTGTTTTCTCAATGCCTTGGTGCGTGACGCTGCTATGTCCAGGGTAAGGAGAAGGCGCTAAGCCAGGAGCCGGCCGTGTCCCTGGGAGGCCCCGAGTCCCTGATGAGAGGGAGGAGGCTGCTGGGGCCCGGAAAGCCTGGCCAGGCGAGGGGTGACAGGGGGACCCTGGCCAGGACACAGCCTGGGAGGGACAGTGCAGCCCTAAGGCGGGGGGTGGGGGGAGGCACTTTGGGCTTCACTTGCTAGGTTGCAGGGAGCAGAAGATGCTCGGAGAGGAGCAGGGGCCAAGGGTCCAGCCATTTATAGAGAAAGATTGGCCGGGTGTGAGGGTACATGCCTGTCATCCCGGCAGCAGGCTGAGGCAGGACAATCACAAATTCTAGCCCAGGGTTGGGGATATAGCTCAGTGGCACAAACGCCTGCCTGGCAAGCGCAAGGTCCTGAGTTTGATTCCCAGTACCAAAAAAAAAAAAAAAAAAAAAAGGTATCAAAAAATTCTAGCCCAGCTTGGGGAATTTAGTGACTTAATGAGATCTATCTCAAAATAAAAATTAAAGCCGGGGATATAGCTCAGTGGCACAGTGCCTGCCTGGCAAATGCAAGGTCCTGAGTTCAATTCCCTGTACCAAAAAGAAAAAAAAAAAAAAAGAACAATACAGCTCATATAACAGGTCCTTTAATAATTACACTCTATTTAAACTTCTGATTTGCCGGGTGTGGTGGCACATGCCTGTAATCCCAGCACCCGGGAGGCTGAGGCAGGAGGATTGTTGTGAGTTTGAGATCAGCCTGGGCTACAAAGTGAGCTCAAGGCCAGCCTGAACTGCACAGCGAGACCCTGTCTCAAAAAAGATCCTCTCCCAAAAAAGTAAAAAATAAAATAAAATAAAAATTAAATGAGGCTGAGAATGTAGCTTGGTGGGAAGGCCCTGGGTTCAATCTCCAGTACTGCCAAAAAAAGAAAAAAAGAAAGAAAGAAAGAAAGATTAACCTTGGAGTGAGCAGAAGCCCAGGCCGGAAAGGATTGCTAGGAAGCGGGGTGACACCCACAGGGCTGAGGGCAGGGAGGCAGAGGACAGGCCGAGCCCCAGCCTCCCGCCTGACCCTCGCGTCCCAGCCGCCCCTCCTGTCCTCTCCTCAGAATCCCTCCGCACCTGCCCATGGCTCGAAGACGCCGTCGGGCCAAAAGGTGAAGCCCCCGCGCGCCCCGCTGGCCCGGGCGTGGACGCAGGAGCGGGAGCAGTCGCTGGCGGCCGCCTACGTGCCCGTGGCCGTGGGTCCGCAGGGGCAGCCCCTGGGCCGGCTCCGGGCCAGCTTCTACACCGCGCAGTACGCCAACTCGCTGAGCCCCTTCTGCACCTTGCAGAAGCCCACCTGCGGCTACCTGTACCGCAGGGACACCGACCACACCCGCAAGCGCTTCGACGTGCCGCCCGCCAACGTGGCCCTGTGGCAGTCCTAGGCCGGGCCTCTCCCGCGCCCACGGCCCAGCGCTCCCCTCAGCAGCGATTAAACGTTGTCCGCCTCTGCCCTGGCATCTGAGTGGGTGGCTGCGGGTGGGTAAACAGGTCCTGGGGGTTAGGGCGGGAGGGCTGGAGGCTTAGCGAGCCCCGGCGCCCCCTGGAGGCCCACCTCGGCAGTGCACCCGCAGGGCCGGCTCTTTAAGAAGAGCGCCCCGGGACAAGGACAGGGTGGGGGTCGCGGGGGTCGCGGCCCAGCAGGGAGAAGAGCCTGGCAGGGCGCTGTGGTGTCGCTGGGAGTGAGGGGACAGCCGGTAGCCCTGGAGGGGAGTCAGGCTCCGATTGCGGCCCTCCTGTCTCCTCCCTGCCCTCTACCCGCCACACTTGCCCCTCCCCTGGGCCCGCCCTCCCCCGTGGGTTCCTCGGGTCTGGCGTCCACCCCCGGAGGGGACCCTGCAGCCGGGCACCCAGGGGGGCCGCTGGACCTCTCCCGCCCGGCCCTCCGCGGGATCCACACTTCCGCCCTCCATGGGTGCCCGAGGCTGGGGTGGACCCCGGGCCCCTCCGATCTGGGGATCCCGTCCCCCTCCAGTCCCTCCTCAGGAGCCGAGGTGCCAACGCCTACAAGTTGTGTGAACCGGGGCGGGGATCTGTTTTCTGCCCCAATTCTTTTATCTAGGTAGAAACGTGAGCCGCACTAACGGGACTGGGGAGGCCACTGCCATGAGCCCACCCACCACTCTGAGTGGCCCTCGTAAGACACCACAGTCCCCGCCATGGCTTCAGCCACACGTTCCCTCGGGCACTATCTTATGAAGCTCACGCCCCCATCAGCCAATGATCCCATTCTCTGCATGCCCCTCCCCCTGGAGTACTGAGGAGTGAACCCAGGGCCTTCAAGCTGAGCCACATCCCTAGCCCTTTCCTTCAGATTGCTATTTTTTTTATTTTTTGAGACAGGGTTTCACTATGTAATTCAGGTTGGCCTTGAACTCACTTTGTAGCCTAGACTGGCCTCAAACTCTCAGCTATCCTCCTGCCTCAGCCTCTCAAGTGCTGGGACTACAGGCATGTGCTACCATGCCTGGCTCCTAGCCCTTTGCTTGTTTTTTTGTTCTTTGTTTTTTTTTGTTTTTTTTTTAATAGGGTTTTGCTAAGTTGCCCAGGCTGTGCTTTAACATGCAATCCTCCTGCCTCAGCCTCCCAGAGTCCTGGCATCACATGCATGCACCACCATGCCCAGCTTGGGTAGGTGATATCGTATAAGAAAGACTCTCTGGTCCAATTCAAGACACTCCTGGCTGATCTGATGGACCAAGAAAGCCCTCAGAGGCAGCCAAGCTGTAGGATCACAGGGGCCTGCTGGGCTGCTGGGGGTGCACAGCCCTGGGACTGAGACTGTCCTTTCTCCCTTGGCTGAGTGCCCAGACACAAACGCAGCTCAGGAGACGCCGTGGTGGCAGCTACAGGAGTCTCTGGTCACGGAAGCCTTGAGGTGACAAATGTCTGTGTGTCTAAGTGGCTGACCGGGGGTCACTGGTTTTGCAGCACCCAGAACTAGCGCAACTTGTACAGAGCAAAACCGTGCGGAGGGGAGTGGTGGGGTCTTCCTGGGGAGGGGTGACGCTCACACAGGAGGGCTGGGGTAACCAGAAGGGGACGGAGGAGCCTCTGTCCCCAGACCCCGTCACCTCCACATCTGGGACCTGGGAGGGCTCTGTGGGACGCAGAGCACAGCTGGGCTTGAGCAAATCCCCCAGCATGGATCCCAGCTCCCTGCCCTGGGGCCCTAAATACACTATTTTTTTTTTGAGACAGAGTCTCACTATGTAATTAGTTCTATCTGGCTTTGAACTCACAATGTAGCCCAGGCTGGCCTCGAACTCACAGCGATCCTCCTGTCTCAGTCTCCTGAGAGCTGGTGTTACAGGTATACGCCACCATACCTGACACTTTTTTTTGTGGGGAGGGACAAAGTCTCACTAGGTAGTTCAGGCTGGCCTTGACCTGGTGGTGATCCTCCTGCCTCAGCCTAGCAAATGTTGGGATTACAAGTGTGCACCACCATTCCTGGCTGTAAGCAGGTCTATTTTCTGTGTCTAAGGGCAGGATCAGGAACATCATGAACCCAAAAAAAAAAAACACCCAGGATAAGCAGGGCGCAGAGGCCACAGGATCAGAACAGCTGCTGGCTGGCCACCCATGGGTGCTAAGTAGGATTAGGAGATCGCCAGGTGGGTGGGCAAAGCCTGTCACCCAGCTCAAGGCCCTAATCCGGGGAGCTGCTGTTCTGGGTGCAGGCCCTGCTGCCGGGGCTTAGCGGAGACTTTTAACACCGGGCTCTGGTGTCGCCTAACTCGGGCGCGGCCAGCCCCTCTCTTCTGGTCACTCCACTGGTCCTTTGAGCGCAGAGGTCCGGGCCTCGCCACCCTCGCGGGGCCACCTCTGTGCACCTTGGGCGCCAGCCTCCCGAGGCCGGGCCATGGGCAACGTGGTGGAGGGTAAGTCGGTGGAGGAGCTGAGTAGCACCGAGTGCCACCAGTGGTACAAGAAGTTCATGACCGAGTGCCCCTCGGGCCAGCTCACCCTCTACGAGTTCCGCCAGTTCTTCGGCCTCAAGAACCTGAGCCCCTCCGCCAGCCAGTACGTGGAGCAGATGTTCGAGACCTTTGACTTCAACAAGGTGGGCGAGGGAGCTGCCTGGGGTGAGGAGGAGCTACAGGGACCAGGGAGTCCCTGGAAGAGCTGCACTGTTTATAGTGATTTAGGAGCCAGATCCTTCTTTCCCTCCGTCCTTCCTTCCCTCCTTCCTTCTTTCCTTCCTTCCTTCCAGTACTAGGGACTGAACCCAAGGCCTTTACATTGAGCACTTTTTATTTTTTATTTGAGCCTGGGCTGGAACTTGAAATCCTCCTGCCTCAGCCTCCCAGAGTGCTGAGATTATAGGCATGCACGACCACACCTGGCTAGGTAGGGAGAATTTTAAGAGCAGGGATTTGATTTATCCATTGTTCATGGAGCAACTACTCTGCTGGGGAATTAATTGGATCCCGGCCCTGCCTTTACTTCTAGGGGGAGACAGAGGGGCCTACAAAGTAGACACATCAGAGAGAGGCTCTGTCTCAGTCTCTCTGAAACAAGTGTGACACTTCTAAGGGGGTCGCTGAGCACACGGCGCTGGTGCAAAGGCCCAGGCAGCTTGAGAAGACGAGGGAGGAGGGCGGAGAGCCGCGCTGGGCTGGCCTGGGCAGGGCCACCTTACCCGGGTCTCCCAGGACACTCTGTGGACGCTGGGACTGGGGACGGGCAGGGTTGCCTGGTCACTGAGGGCCAGGACACCCCGAATCCAAGCACCCAGGGACCCAGCTCATCTTTCGTCGTGGGAGTCTGAAGGCCACACGGTGGACAGGCTGTGACCTGGCCGTGTTGGGTGCGTCCTCCTGAGGAGCTGGAGGGGGTGGGCAGGGGAGTTTGAACCCCGTCTCCTCTCTCAAGCACAGCTTAGCCACCTGGTCGGCCCTGGTGGGTGGCGCATTGATTAAGATACTGGGTTTCAGTAGTACATCTTCCATTTATTTGGAGCAATTCGGGCAGATATTGTGGTAAAGGAATCCAGACCCACAAGCCAGGTTCCCACCCCGCTGTCCCCTCACCTGGAAGGTGACATCAAGTGGTGCCTGGCCTTGTGCCTCTGGGGACAGCTGGGGCCACACAGCTATTTTAAGCTCCCTAATAGTGGGGCTTAGTGGGCAAAGCAGATTATGGGCTTGGAGGTTTGGAGTCCTCACCTCAAGGGCAGCATCCGGGTCCCCAGAGCTTTTTTGAGGGGCAGCAGGGTGGGGCAGAGATCAGGAGGGATAGTGTCACCATGCTGGACCTCAGTGCCTTCAAGGGGACCATATGCCTTTAATCCTAGCTACTCAGGAGGCTGAGGCAGGAGGATCTCAAGTTCAAAGCCAGCCTGGGCGATTTAGACTGGCCCCTACCTCTGCATTTCTAACTCTCGCCAACCCCTAGCACTTCTCATCTTTTTTTTGTACCGGGAATCAAACTGAGGACCTTGTACCTGCCAGGCGTGTGCTGTGCCACGGCTGAATCCCCGGCCCACTGCGCTTCTGATACTATATTTTCTTTTTCTTTTTTTTTTTAAATTAAAAAAACTAAACAATGAAGAAAAAAAATCAAAACAACACAAAAACAACAAAAATGATACATGACCTTCAAAACAAAATGATAGGAATTAACAATGGTTGCTATGTTACATACTGTTGTCTTTTTTTTTTTTTTTTTTTTTTTT